TAAAACAAATTTCTTTCCAATTTTGTACCCTCTACTTCTCTATTATGTACACTATCTACAATACCTTGATAAAGTTCATCACGAATTTGTTTTTGATTATTACGAAAATAATCTAACCTGGATGTCTCTATCTTAACATACATATCTACAACATATTGTTGGAAAAGTCTGTCTGTGTGAAGCAATACAAACTTACCAGAAGACCTAATCTATAACTTGTATGAATAATACTCATGACATGATATCTGAAATCATTTCTTGGTTTCCTCAAGCACTGTATAAAGAAAAATGAAGCAAATTTTATATTTACTTAAAATATCACATTTGTAGAGCTATAAGAGACTCAAGAAAGTATATAAGCAAACCTTCAGCATCTTTTTCAATAATTTGAGCTGTAGAATTTATTATATTAGGATTAGCAAGATGGTCGACCAACTACGCGAGTTGAGAAGATGTTTGTCCGTATCTTCGAATCCCTTCATGCCAACCACATTCACCACACGGGAAAAGCAAATGGTTTTGCATAGAATCACAACCAACATAATAATAATGAACTCTATACGAATCACCAGAATGGCCATACACAATAATATCACGAACATGAATATTTATATTTTCATCATCCTCAACCCATATAGCAGCTACTTGAGACGTTGATGGAGTATTAACGACTCTCTGATCGAGTCTTGGGTGATATCCTATTTGTATTTTATGGTCGTGAAAATCTGTTATATTACTTAACGACCTAAAGAATTTACTATACGAATTTACTTTCAAGATTTCAATTAGAAGAACCAAAGTGGATTCTACCAGATTTTCTAAAGTTTTTATACGATTTTGAAGTTCATTATCTGTATCATAAAAATATAATTGTATATAACAAGGCGTATTATTATCTGGCATAAGTTAATTTACATAATGATACACTTGTCTCTGAACTTTAAATGTGTAAATACATTTGTATGCTTTAAAGAGTTCCTTTATTTTACACAAAATGAAGTGAACTAACAAATAATAATAATACTAATCGAATAAATCTTATAGAAGTTTTCCCCAAATCAACAATCTTCTTTATAAATGCAAACAACAACATAACTATAAACACTACTAACTAGACCAAAAAGACTCCAAACATACCCGTAGCAAACTCTTGTAATCCTCATTAAATAAAAAAAAAATGATCGAAAAGCTTAAGCTTCTCAAGTAGATAAGTGTAAAGAAAGAAAAACCTAGCTAAGTTTTATAAACGAAAAAAAAAAAAATACATATGAAGAAAATAAGAAATAAATTTGCAAGAAAGCAAATATCCAACAAAAATATAAATGTCATAGCCATATCCAAGAAAAAAGAAAACTCCAGTTAAATTTTCACGTATATACAGAGACAAGAACATACCTCACATTGAGGTAGAGGAAGATGAGCTAAGCTAGATTTTCATCTACACACAGAAACAAAAATTACATACCTTAAATAAATCTTAAAAAAAACAAAAAAATGGATACACAGACAAAAAAAAATTTGCAAGAACATACCAAAAGATAATTGTTACAAATTCTATAATTTTCTTCCCTACCAGCGAGATGAGGACTGTGTGATATTTTTTCCCCATAGAAAGAAACAAGAATTTGGAGAGTTTTTTTTCCATAGACGAAAGTTGAAATTTTGGAAAGAAAACGATTGAATTGAAAGAGTAACAATGAGTAACTTGAAAGAGTGATAGATGGTAGAAGCTTCCACGTTTGATTACTTTATATTTTTTATAATAAAAAAGACCAAACAACTTTGATCAAACCTATTTTAAACTAGTTCAATGTGAAAACGTATGTGACAAAAATGAACAGTCTTATGCAAAGAAAAGCAGTAATTTTCACCAATATTTTTTAACAAATCAAAAAAATAAATAAGGAAAAAAAATCTTCATCCAAGAAGAGATCCCTCCATGAGTTGAAGTCTCACAGAGAGTTTCTCTTTGTAAAAGGAGAGTGTTCATGGAGAAATGAAAGAAACAAAGGAGAGTTTCTCTCCATCCAAGGAAATAAATTTTCTTTCCTCATTTTTTTAGTTTGTTTTGTTCACATTATAAATATTTTTTTTTCGATTTAAAATTCTTTTCAACTATTTTCTCTTTATGATAAAATTCAACTTTTTTCAATTTTAATTAAATGATATTTATATATCCTTTATTTTATTTTTATAACTTTCTTTTGTTTAACGTGTTTTTGTTTTTATTATTTATTTTTTGAAAATTGTTTTATAATTTCATTTTTTTCATATTATAAATATTTTTTTATTCGATTTAAAATTACTTTCATTTTATGATAGAATGTAATTTGTTCAATTTTAATTAAATAATATTTAATTTTAATTTTAATTATTTCAATTTAATTTAAAAATTTATACTAATTTTTTCCTATTTTTGCATGCAATTCTTTTTTTTTATCCGTTAATTTGTTAGATCATTTAGTTTCTTTTCTTTATTAAGTATTGGATTGGATGAAGTGAAGTACTGTGTGAAAATGAAAAAATATTGCCGTGGAGGTGACGGTTGCAGTCAAATGACGTGTGAAAATGATGAAATTATTGAAGACAACACAACGTCGTACTTGCTCCCACCCACTATAAACAAAAAATTTAAAAACAATTTTCAAAAAATATAAAAGCAAAACAGAGTTACAAAAATTAAATAAAGAATATATATAAATATTATTTAACTAAAATTAAAAAAATTAAGTTCAATCATAAAGAGAGTTCTCTCCTCTCGACTAAGCTTTCAACTCTCATTGGAATCGACGTGTGTGGATGGAGAGATTCTCCATTCACAATCTCTCTGTAGTTGGAGACATTCTCTTCGTCTACAGAGATAATTTTTTTCTTCATTTTTTTAGTTTGTTTTGTTCATATTATAAATATATTTTTTTCAATTTAAAATTCTTTTTAATTCTTTTCTCTTTATGATAAAATTCAATTTTTTTAATTAAATAATATTTATATACTCTTTGTTTAATTTTTGCAACTTTCTTTTGTTTAATTAAATAATATTTATATATTCTTTATGATAAAATGTAATTTATTAAATTTGAATTAAATAATATTTATTTTTAATTTTAATTATTCTATTTAATTTAAAAACTTTATAATAATTTTTTTCTATTTTTGTCTGCAATTCTTTTTTTTTTTGGTTCTTTAATTTGTTAAATCATTTAATTTCTTTTGTTTATTAATATTGGATTGGATGAAGTGAAGTAGTATGTGAAAATGAAGAAATATTGCAGTGGAGGTGAGATTGCAGTAAAATGGCGTATAAAAATGGTGAAATGATTGAAAACAACACGACGTCGTTTTTGCACCCACCTACTACCCAAAAATAAAAACAAAAAAATAAAATTGCTACAGTGTGATAGAATGGAATAATTTACTGTTACCTAACCAATTCAATGTGAACCTATGTGACAAAAATGAACATGAAACCTCACATTCTCTCTTTTAAGAGAAGGAAGGATAATGTTATTTATAGTCGATGACTGCAGTAGATATCTTATGTGGTAACTTGTTATTTAAGGCATTAGTTTTCCTTAATTCTGTTGCTTCAAATAACAAGCTAATATTTCAAATAACAAGTTGACACATAAGATAATTGTTAGTCTGCTACCATCGCGGGCCATATTTATAGCCTATATAAATAGACATAATTATATAAACATTGCTACTAAATGTTTTATTATAAGACATTCTTCAACGAGTGAAATCGAAATATTAAGTAGTCCCCTTAGCATACTATTCATCGAACATCACTGTAGAAGCCATACGCAGGCTTATTCGCATTGCACGTTCAACTGATGATGCATTAAAGGACAGTATGGACATCACAGATTACAAAAGGACATACAAGTGCTTAATTGGTGCGTTAGAGGCATAAAATAAGCATCCAATATTCGGAAGGGTTTTGACACCCCGGTGACAAGTGCTTTATCCGTGCATTAGAGGCATGAAATAAGCATCCAATACTTGGGAGGGTTTTGCTAAGTGTACACTAGGGGTGTACAACCCCCTCACGAGAGAGGGGGGGGGGGGGGAACCGATAGCAAAATCCTATTTGGAATCAAGCACAGGCGAATTTTCATACTTAAATCATTCAAGAACTGATTCACAGCTTTTATTCTTTTCTGTCAGCATGTAGGCTGCAAGAATTGGGGCAGATTGGATGTATTTTGGAATGAAAAGAATATGTTTGTACATGGTCAGCGGCGAAGGGACCACCATGTTCTCATGGACGTTGCTGGGAATATCTTGAATGGGACAAACCGCTGGAGGTGAAAGAGGGATGCATCGACAATGGCAACCGCCACCTGCTCGCTGTTTCAAATTAAATAGCGATACCTCAGTTAAGTAACGGGCTTCTACACAATGGGTGTTGTCATTTGCAACGAGTAAAGGTGGTTCTGGTAAGCAAAGGAGGCTATTGGGAACTCGTAGAAGATGCCGAGGCCATTGCAGCACGGGATTGTCTGGTTTTGGCCCAGAGCCATGGATACCAGATTGCTCTATGTAATGTGACTCCTTAAGGGTAGTGCATAGTCTCAAATATGATATTTCTTTGCTCCTAATGCTTCAATTTGATGGATACATTGTCCTTGTTGCGTCATTTAAATTGTAGTTTTTGCAACTTTAAGCCCACAAAATTACTTCTTACGTTTCTTTAGCATTTGGCACTTTTATCCGGGAAACATGGCTTCCACTTTAACTGTAGTTCATAGTGATTTGATTCAATGAGAATAGGTTCTGCAACTTTTTTTTTTTTTTTTTTAAATAAAATAGTAATTTACTGTTATCATCGTTTGCTGTTTAAATTTTACTGTTATCATTGAGTGAACACAATTTCAAATTTGAGTATTTTTTGAAACCATTCTCGAATTCAACGACGCTTTATATGGATCAGACTTGAATCATGTTTGACTTTAACTAATTATTTTTGCCAATCATGTATGCATCTATCAGAGAAATTATCAGAATGAATATAATGAGATCATATTTCGCAAAAACCAGAAGTTTTACAAACCTCATTAATCTATATCTGCAGAGACATACAACAAATTGTTGAATATAATCATTTGTCATGGAGATAATCATTGGCAATTTCTCTAAAATCTAATTTTTGGTCATGCATTAGAGGCGAGGAAACAAATCGGCCAAAAACCCATTTACAAAACCTACAGAATACCGGTTTTTCCAAGAAAAGTTCATTTCTTTGCATGCTCGGGAATGAGACGTTGTCGGAGTTCAGGCGGCGCGACAGCCAGTTCTGGAAGAGTAAATAGAATAATTCACCATAGGAAACATAAAAATCTAATGTTAGTAGATGTAATATGGGAAAATTTGTACTCACCTTGAGCTGTAAAATTGAACAAAGGAGGTAGCGGTCGATCGTTTGGCAAGCATGCATTAGGTTCTCTCAAAGCATCGAAGAATGGGTGTGCACAAGCCTCCAACTAAAAATTAACACAAACAATGAAGTACATGAGCTGAAAGACTTAATGAAGGATCCATAACTGGAAGGAAGATCAAAATGAAAGACTTGTATCATGTTTGGTTAAGAATAAAAAGTGTACATATACGTAAATAAGTAAATTTTTACATAATTAACATTTTTACTGGTCAAAGTTGGAAGTAAGAAAATTTTGAAGTAACTTCTACTTTTTTATAAGTTTAGCAAACATGTATGCTGTTAATAAGTATCACTTACCGCTGTGCAACGTAGAGTAGGTGAATACTGAAGCAGCCTTGACACTAGATCCACTGCTTCTGGTGGCATTCTCTTGTGAAATATCTACAAACATAACATCAGTTAAATTTATCTCTCGTCTCGTTTTCTTTGGATTTCTGACAATCAACAAACAAGAGGAAGATAAAAGAGATGAAACTGCGAGTAAGGAGGACACTTCCTAATTGAGTTCTCAACAAACCTTGTGCCAAGGGTGAGCTTTGATGTGAGGAAACTTAAACTCGCTGTAATTGGGATTCATGCACTTGATTTCCTCTCTTGTCGGCGTCCCCAAAACCTAACATGTAAACGATGAATAAAGGCAAAACTTAGAGATACTCAATTTAAAAGGCTGAATATTAGATGAAACAAAAGTCAAAGAGTCGATAATAGTTTACCTTAATTATTTCAACTAGCTGATCAACACTACTTTCCCCGGGAAATAGAGGCTGCATGAGTTCAAACAATGAGTCGAAACTAGGTTCTTAAATATGTTCATCCAACTTTAGCAAAAAAAAAAAAAAAGAAGGGAGTACAAATACAAGATATCCACTCAAAGAGAAGAATTATAAATTAGAATTTGATAAGATGAAAAAATTAAACAATCGCCGGCAAAAGCCCATTAAAAACACCCATTCTTGAGAAGCTCCAAAAGAAAATTACCCTTCCTAGAAGACCAAATGTGCAAATTGGAGGGAAAAAATCAGAAAATAGAAATCCTAAATTACTCAAATGCAAAAAATAGAACAGTAGAAAGAATGATGTCACGCTCGTTAGCAAGTTCAAAATAAGTAACGCATTGTTATCATGTATAGTTCTTCATAACAACTAAACTTAACAAAGAGCACATTTGGCTAAGACTAAAGAGAAATAGTACTTTCTATGAAAGTCAGTAAAGACTGACTTTCTACAGAATTAAGTTTTTGTGCCAAAAAAGGTAAATCTGAGATGCTTGGGAAAAAAGGTAAAACTTAAAAGTTACTCATAGGCTTAGGCAAACATGCTCAAGATAAAGGATCAGCGATGATTCATTTAAATGAAGCCGTGTTTATGCTCACCTGGCCTATAAGTAGCTCGGCCATTACACAACCAACAGACCACATATCAATAGCTGTTGTGTACTCTGTAGCTCCAAAGATCAGTTCTGGAGCCCTATAATACCGAGAGCAAATGTATGATATGTTTGGTTCACCAGGTACCTATAACAACACGGGTTATCTCAATGATTTCCATATGGTTGGGACTTATTCAAATTCTGCAGAAATAGAACATACCAACATCTTTGCACTCCCGAAATCACAGAGCTTTAGCTGATGTGTATGAGGATTGACCTGCAAAAAACAGTATTTCTTAACCTTCCAAACTTCAAAGAAAACTCTTGTTGCAAGAAAAATAAATTGCAAGGGGGGAAAAAGATCAAAAAATGCAGATTCAAAATCATACCAATAGATTCTGAGGTTTAATATCGCGGTGGCATACACCGATAACATTATGTATATAATTTAGCGAACGGCAAATCTGCAATTAGGGAAGGAAATTATCAAATGTATAGTGTAACCAAATGCTCATAGCTCGAAACAAGGTTGCAAATAAAATCATGTGCAGTGAATTGTTAACAGCTAAAATTTACCTGGTATGTATACAACTGCACATATAAAACGGGCATATATTGGTTGACTCTACTGTAGTGCCTTGAAGCTCGATACACAGTTTCAGACACATATTCTAATACAAGATTAAGGTACACCTCATTCTTGTCAGTGGTAGAATAGAAACAATGTTTGAGTTGAACAACATTAGGATGGTCAAATAAACGCATAATCTGGAGTTCTCTGTTCTTATATCTCCTATCCTGCAGCACCTTCTTAATAGCAACAGATTCTCCCGTTTCGAGGCATTTTGCCTGTAGAGAATAATTAAAAGAAAGGAAAAAGGAAGTCAGTCGACCATATTATCCTCTTATTTACAAAATTATGATCCTCCAACTCCATAAATAAGACACTAGTAGCATGTTTGGCTAAGCTTAACAAATTTACTTATATGTAAATAACTTTTAATATAAGAAATTTTCTTAATATAAGTTGGGAGTTAGTTTCAAAGTAACTGTTTTATATAAAAGTAAGTAATCCAGAAATGTTAGGAAAATGTTAGGAAACAACTTTTTGCTCATGCTTAGTCTTAGACAAACTTGCTCTAATCACATTGCACCTTTCTAGTTTATATACCTGATATACAACTCCAAAGGACCCTGAGCCAACCACGCGTTCTGCCATATAAGACATTGTCTGGGGATAACAAAAAAAATTAATTTTGATTGATACCAACAACATATAACAAATGAGATAATGGGAAATGTTTATTCATTTAAAAAAACCGAAGTCAGTAGGAGAAACCTATAATTAGATATCTTAAATTTTGCGACATTCAAAAAACACAGTCAAATCACCTGTTTAGGTTGTCCATTTCGACCACCTATTGAAGTCACAATTATCTGACCTGTTTCAGTTCCATTGCCACTGACAACAGTGGGCTCCATGTCCTGCATGCAAAATTCATCATAAGCAATACAATAATAGAGTAGCTTAAAATTTTCAGTTGCACGTTACGCTAGTTGATCTTTCTGATCTTGAGAAATAGGAAATAGTAAAAATTTATGCCCATTCAATTAAAAAAGTTGATTAAAATCTAAGTCAAAGTGAACAATTAATTTAATCACACAACCATAACTTTTCAATAACACCTTCCATCAATTTCTATAAAAATCTACTAAAAAATCTATTTTTTTCTTCTAAACTAAACGGGGCTATATCAAAGTTCGAAAAGAAAAAACTAGTCATCATCAAACCTTTACGTTATCCTCATGGTTATCAGCTTTATCGTCTTTAATTTTCATTTCATGCATTTCTTTGGGAAGCTTATCGTAGTCAGACTTATCAGGTCTACCATGTACATCAGACTTATTAGAAACAGTTTCCAATGATTTAGAAGCCGTATTATGCTCTGGAGCTCTCAAAGAATTTTCTTCAGATTGTACTTCACAGGCAATTCTCGTATCTACTTCTTGTTCGACCTTCGCCCGCTTTGAGCCAGAATCCCCACTCTGTAGCAAATCGAGCAAAATTCAGCACGAAATTAGAAAAGAGAAAGAAAATTAAGCTAATATATTTCTTGGAAAGCAGAACTTATAAGTGATAAATGCAATATGTCAGTCCAAAAGGTCAGCCTATCCCTGGTATTGGATCAAGATGCAAAACTAGGAACGGTCTCGTCTACAGAAATTCCTGGTTTCTCTAATCACTCTTCCCCAAAAAGAATCCAGCAACCACACGGGGTAATTACGTCTAGTTGAACTTAGTCGTCCAGGAACGATGCAAGTAAGATCCGGAGATAGGCATAGCTGAGCACAGCACAGCACAGCACAATTATTTGTGTCAACTTGCCTCGTTTTCCATATTTATGTTTCCTGTTTCCTCTTATCATAAATAGAAAATTTATCTTCCAATAATAAATGCATTCAATAACATATAGAATCCCAATTCATAAACTAACACATTATTGCCCATGTAATATCATTTAAAACTAGTCTTCTTCTTTTTTTTTTTTCTATGGTTAAATATTTAATCTGTCATGCCCAAATTTATATCAAATAAGGCTTAATTTGTTGTTGAGTTTTGAATCTGCAATCCAAATACACAACAATTAGAGCTCATGCCAAATTATAAATAGGACAGATTCAAGAACATCACTCATATGTCCAACATATCAACTTTTACTAGTTTAAGATAGAACACAGTTAAAAAGCACAAAACAAAACACAGTTCAAGGAAAAAAAAATCTCTCAAATTTTGAAAAGAAGCATGATCAAGTATTTCACAAAATATACAAAATCCACCTGAGATAACCAGAAACTTAATCTTTATCAGCATTCAGAAAATCTATATACCAACAAAGGAATAAAAGCCCACCACAAAAATCAAAACTTTTTAACAGATTCAAATAAAAATAACATATGTCAATAAAATCTCAAAGTTGTATACATAAAATGAGAATATTACAGGATCTGAAACTGAGGATCTTCCAGAAGCAATGCTCTTAAGCCGACGCATCATATTCATTTTCTCAGAAAAAAACCCAAATCCCAGATCAAGAAAATTGATCAAAATATTTTCCTCTTCCCCTTTTCCCTCAAATCAAATCCAAGAAAACCCTTAAGAAGTATCCCTTCATCCAACAATGGGAAATGGAGACATCTCCAGGAAAAACACAAATCCGAGAGAGAGAGAGAGCAAGGGAAGAAAGCACTTATATTTTCCTCTTCCTCACCCTCCCAGACACAAAGATGGAGAGAGAGAGAGAGAAAGCTAAAAGCAAAAGATTTCTCAAAATTTCTGTCCTCTGGTCAAAGCTTCAATGCCTAATCATCATTCATGCCGACCATTTTTCTTTGTTTTGAATCTGGGCCGTTAATCCGTCATCATTGGTTGAAGAAGAAAAAAATGGAGGTTGTCGTCAAATGACGAAAATAGGGCTGGTTGTTTTTAAAAATTACGAGGTTTGAGAATTTTCGGACAGGATTAGCGGAATATGCGGGGTGTCATTTGTTCGGTACGGTCTCCGGTCAGCAAGATTTGTTTGACTGGCCGTTTGCTTTTTCTATTCTTTATTTTTGGCCGTTAAAGTTTACTTTGAATTTTGAATCACTCTTTGTTCTTTAATTACAAGCTGGATAGGTGGAATGGAATGAGCTCTTTAGGACCATCTCATAATTACATCATCTATGTGTAATTTTTGATTTTGTGCAGAGAATAGAGATGTCTCTAAAATTTGTACAACATGGCACTTAGATATCTCCAACTTTATCACCCCTTTTTTATGGCCACTATTTGAGGGAATATATATAGTGATTTTTAAAAAAATGTATAATTAAAAAATAGAAAAAAAATTGAGTTTATGTACTGAATATTTTATAATATGAATGTGTGATTGAAAATAAGTATATAGATGATAAGCTTTCAAAAAATGGCTGTCAAGCAAGGCCCAAATTCGTACTTTATCCATCTCATAAAAATAGAGTTACTTTAATTTCACATATATTAAGAAAATATAATTAATTGTTACAAAATAGAGAGAGAAGTCAATACATTTGTGTATATTTCATTGAGAACAAAAACCCTTACTTATAGTGAAGAATTAGGATGGTAAAGAATACAATAGTCATAATAACTAGAGCTAAAGAAGTATAATGATCATTTACTAATAAACATATAATTTACAACACTCCCCTTTAATGACACACTATAAATACATTTCCTGTTAAAATCTTGTCAAAAAAATTTAATGTGACAAAATTTGCTCTCCTAATTACAATAAATGAAAATTTTTATATTGAACCGTTCATATCTTGTACGTCAATAGCTTCAATATTGTAATTCTGGTGAAGCATATTTCGTATTGTCTTTGTAGACATTAAAAAAGAAAAATAAAGAAAATGGATTGGATTGATTTAAATCATTAGCCCAATTAAATTAAAGTCTACTAAGGTTCATAAATGCAAAGGTCCATCTCACTTTTTTAAATAAATGAATAAATAAATAAAAATCATAATTACTCAATTATTTATTTTTAATTAAATATAATCGAGTGATTATTAAAATTAGCACAAATTTTCTCCTATAAATAGGATCAATGGTCTATAAGATATGGAAGAGGAAGAAAAAAGCAAGCAAGAAGAGGTGAAAGTAGAGAAGACAATCACGAAGTGTTGAAAAAATTTCAAAGCTGAATAAAGAGAAAAAAATCCTTTCAAATCCAAATCCAATGAACCCCAGAAAGATCAAAATTTTCTTCAAATCAAATAGTTTCACCCCAAGTTCAAGAAGATCAAAGTCTTCTTTAATTCAAATCAAGTTCAAGTGCAAGCCAAGAAATCAAAATGCCAAACAAGACGAGTCTCGACAAATCAAAATTTCAACAAATTCTCGAAAATCGGGATTCAAGCCACGTGGCCCCTCGTTTTCAAACATTCAAATTGTTAATCAACGAATTTTTGTAATTTTGTAATTACAAGAAGGTTAACATCACTTGTATTTTATCAAATTACAATTTATAACGATTTCTATATTTTAATACACGAAATTCGTTGTACAGTCTTATAACACTTTTCAAGCAATATCATCTTGATAGATAATATTTATCAATCTTTGTTCTTCTCTGGTCAGCATAATGATCTGTCAAAAAATAGATTATATTATTGTTCTCTTCGAAAGTTGGACACAATTTGTAACATATAGAAAAATTATTTTGAGGGTAAATGTCTTATAAATTTTGAACATCATTATATAAAGAATACATCTAGTTAAAACCTTGTTAGAAAAAAAAATTCTATGAAAAAATTCAATGAAGGAAAAAGTGCATTATTCTTTTGAGTACGCTACAAAAGTTATCCCATTAAAAATTTTGTCAAGAGAATCTGATGAGATAAAACCTTAGTTAAGAAAAAAAAGAGTACGACTCATATTAACTATCATCATGATAATATCACTTAAATTATATGTTTCAAGCATATTAGATACTTTAATCATGCCAGATTTTCAAACTGCAAGTCCATAATTTTCAAATTTCTCTGGTAAATTTAGTTTTACCAGTATTACATCCTTTTATTTGACTAATTATTTCTTCGATAGATATATTTCAATAAATTCATTTCAATATCCTCGCTATTAACAATATGAAGCTATATATCATGTACAAAATATTGTCGACAATATTTGATTTCCGATTCTATTATTCCACAAAATGACATACTTATTGAAATATTTCAATTTTCAATATTTCAAGTACATGAATATCTTTTAGGATCTTATTTTTGTTATGTATATACACTTTTCAAAATTTTACACCTTCTAATGGGACCATCTTTACTATTTAGTCCATTTTTCGTTTGAAGAATTTTGTCTTGGAATCAAATGTCATGCTTAAGGTGTTTCATCGATATATAAATTATAATGTTAATCAATTGTCCTTCTAGGACGTCAATTCAAGTTGGAGAATTTAAAGTTGTACTGTGAGATATTGTTAATCTCATTAATCAATAAATAAATTTAAATGAAATATCTTTCGAACTTCTAGTTCGAATTGTTTGTTGCGAGAATCTAGATAATATAATAATGCATTTTTACATTATTTACAGCTTCTTAATTCCTCAGTTAATGTTGGGTTAACTATCCGATCAAAATGATAAATCACCTATTAGGGGGTTGAGATATTTTACAAGGGTTCAAACTAAGCATTTATTTTCAACATCTTTTCTTTTCATTTTAGTGCATTATGGTGGAACTATTTTGTGTGTGTGTGTGTGTTGTACTATCAAAATTATTGGGATATTTTTCTATTTGACCTATCATTGTTCCTTTTTATGGAAATGTCTATATTATCCTTAATGAAATGATTCTTTCAATATTGCAACATATTTCATAATCTTTTAATCATTTTATCTTCTATTTACTCTATTTTGGATATTTAAATATAAAATTATTCTATGATCTAATAAATTAGAATAATCTGCAACATACATATCATATTTTCTAAGTAAAATACCATATTCTTCAAATGGTAAATTTATATTTTTTTAATTGAGATATAATATTATTTATTTCTTCTAACATTCTTTCAATAAATTATCTAATCATTCAATTGTATATCCTGGCATTTATCAAAATAATCATCATGCAATTGTCCCTGTTAATCTTTTAAAATCTTAAAAAGATTCATTCTAATTTTAACAAAAGTTTAATAGTTTTAACATAGGTCTGATCTAGACTTGTATTCTTAGAACTGAGTGACATTCGAGCTCTGAATTTGTAAACTGCTTCCTTCAACGACCTCCTGCCTTCATGGAATTGTTATTATTTCAGTTACTTGCTCTCACTGTATCAACTTCTAAAGAATAAAATTCTAAACTTCTGTTAAAGAAAAACTCTCTTTTTTCTAAAATAAGAAGGAAACATTCTATTAGATCCTTCAAGAATTTATGGGAAAAAGATTTAGAAACTCATATTGATATCAAAATATTGGAATTTTATTTCTATCAGAATTGATACAAGACTTCTATTTGGTATAAAGGGATTTCCAGAAAAACTGGTTTTTCAAACTGGGAATGGGCTATTGCTTACAACTCGAGATTTCAGGATAGGATGAGATGATCTTCTTCAATGACAATATCTCTATTTATACAAGTTTTTGAGACTCTATTACATCATTGAATACATCAGCAAGGCACACTTGCCTTTCTATTATTTTCCTCATTGGGTCTACATGTTGCTTCAACTTTTTATCCAAAGAGCATCTTTTTCTATTATTGCTCTTATCTTCAATGTCTTCACATGCAGCTGTACGCCTTTGTCAAAGGTGCTCTATTATTGTCCTCTTCATTTCTTCACATGCAGTTGGGGTACTTCCTTAGCTGACAAGATTCTTTTATAGTGGTAGGACATCCTGAAAATTGATGTATATTAAATATTGTAATATAGTCTTTTAAAATTTTTGATTTTGCATATCCTCCATTGGATACCAGCATCCAATTTTCATATTGGCACAAGCACGAGAATTTTTTAGCAAATAAATTTTTGGCGATGTTGTAAATGGCTTTAATTCCAAGTGCTCTCCTATGTCTGATCCATGATTTTGTCATTGTTGGGACTTTTCTATTATTCTCTCTAACATCAATTTGAAAATTGGCTGCAACATATCCAATTGAGATTATGTGTTCAACTGGATAGTAAACAACTCCATCATATTCTGGACTTATTGAATAGAATTTCAAAAATATTTTTCTTCCTCTGGCTAATCTGGATACTTCTTTAATGAATATGTCATCAAACTTGGAAATTTCAATAAAATCTCTTCCTGTATATATCAAATCCATAAATCCATAGTCTGTCGTAATTTTTATAAATAAATGGTCATCTCCTTCCATGGCTGTTATTCTGGGGTAAACATTATTTCCCGAAGAAATGAAATATGAATCACTCATTTTTATTTCACAAGCGATTTTGACTATTTCGGCATATTTTTCTTCTTTTGGATCTAAAGGGATTTTATCTTCTTGGTCTATGATGCTGATTGTTTTGGTATCTATTTTATCTACATGTATCAAAATTTTCTTGGTTGATGATAAAGAAATGGAATCCCCTTTATCATCGATTGGTATGTTGTCACGTCTAGGTCCACTGCTGCTTCCAGCTGTCCCTGTTTGGTATTGACTTGGAAAACTCATTTCTGAGCTCTTTGGTATATCTGTTTCACACCGTATATTTTTTAGTTGAGCTGCAATAGCATCAACTTGATTTTTGAGTTCTATGGTATATTTTTAATGCTCAGTAGTGATAT